CACACTCTGGTCGGGATACACCGTCAAACCCTTCTCAACCTTCCCACTGGAGATCTTCTCTCGGAGGGATTCCACCTAAAGGTCACCTCTCTGTGCCTCTAACACTCAAGTCACAAGTGTAGGCTGCGCAACAACAGAAAATAAGGTCGCAGTCTCAACGGATTCGCCCAGAAGCAAATCAAACTCCCTAAGTGCACCCAACATCTCCTATTCCCGGATGGCTATACTAGCTACGTCACCAACAGATTTCCTGCTAAGGGCATCGGCCACCACATTGGCCTTTCCCAGATGATAATACAACTCGAAGTCATAATCCTCAATGAACTTTATTCACCTCCTCTGCCTCAAGTTCAAGTCTTTTTGTGTAAACAGATATTTCAGACTCTTATGATCCGAGAATACCTCGAACCGCTCACCATAAAGGTAATGCCTCCAAATTTTCAAGGCAAAGATCATAGCTGCTAACTCTAGGTCATGCATAGGGTAATTCTTCTCGTGTATTTTCAACTGACGCGAGCCATAGGCTACCACTTTCCCCTCTTGCATCAACACACAACCTAAACCCTCTCGTGAAGCATCGCAATACACAACATAACCCAGCCCTCTCTCCGGAATAATCAAGATCGGAGCGATGGTCAATCTAACTTTCAGCTCTTGGAACGACTTTTCACAAGTCTGAAGCTAGCCTGGAGAAATCCTTCACAAACCGGCGATAGTACCCAGCTAATCCCAGAAAACTGCGGATCTCAAAAACATTCTTAGGCTGTGCCCAATCTTGCACTGCCTCAATCTTGGATGTATCAACAGACACTCCTTCCCCAGAAACCACATGGCCTAAGAACTTGACTTCTTCTAGCCAGAACTCACACTTTCCAAACTTGGCATACAACTTATGGGCTCTAAGTAACTGAAGCACCACTCTCAAGTGCTCCTCATGCTCTTCCTCAGAAGGTGAATAGATAAGGATGTCATCCACAAAAACGACCACAAAACGATCCAAGAATTCCCGGAAGATCCGGTTCATCAAGTCCATAAAGACTGTCGGTGCATTGGTGAGCCCAAATGGCATCACCAGGAACTCATAGTGGCCATACCGCGTACGGAATATCGTTTTCAGAATATCCTCCACCCTGACTCTCAACTGGTGGTAACCCGATCTCAAGTCTATCTTAGAGAAACAACGGGAACCCTTCAATTGATCGAACAGATCATCTATACGAGGCATAGGGTACTTATTCTTGATCGTAGCCCGATTCAATTTCCGGTAATCGATACAGAGTCTCAAAGCACCACTTTTCTTTTTAGCAAAGAGGGCCAGTGCTCTCCACGGCGAAACACTAGGACGAATATAACCCTTATCTAGCAACTCCTGGAGTTGATTCTTCAACTCAACTAACTCAGCTGGGGCAAAACGATAAGGTGCCATAGAAATCGGCGCCGTGCCGGGCACTAGGTCAATAGGGAACTCAATCTCTTTGTGAGGTGGCAAACTAACGAGATTCTCGGGAAAGACGCCCGAGTACTCACAAACCACTCTCGTCAACACAGTCTGGGTCTCATCACACTCACTACTCAAAAGGCTAGCAAGAAGACCACTCAACTCACTCCGCCCTCGCGGATCATACACCGGTGGCAAAACACTACCAACCCGATCCCCCAGAAAATGAAAACACTCCCCGCTCAAGGTATAAACTGTGACCCTCTGGCAGTAGCAGTCAATAACAGCTCGGTATGACGATAGCCAGTCCATACCCAAAATAACATCAAATCCCATCATGGGCATAACTACAAAAGGAAACGGAAGTCAACGATTAGCGACCTCTATATCACAACCCCTACATCCGTGTTTCAAAATCAACTCACCCCCAACAGGTGATAGTACACATGTAGGAGATGCTAATTGTGCCAACTCCAACCCCAAAACTGATACAAATGCAACAGATATAAAAGAATGGAATGCTCCAGTATCAATCAATACATTAGCAACCGAGTGGCAAAACAATAAGGTACCTCTCACAACAGATGGAGCCGGTACAAGATCCTGCGCGGTAACAGCATACACGCGCCCAGACGGTCTCTGATCTACCTGCTCACCCCTAGGAGCATAAGACTGCTGCACAGACTGGGATGATGAAGCCTCCTGATTGTCCCTTGAGGCCTGAACTGACTGAGCTGGCTGATGACTCTGAGTCTGCCTCAAACCAGATGCACCAGATGTGCAACTCAACTGCAGGCAAAACCTCTTCAGGTGCCCTGCCTGACCACACTAGTAACAAGAGAGCGGCTGGCCTCTACCTTGACTCTGGCTCTGACGTCGAGCCGCAGATGATGCTGCTCTCTGTCCTTCTCCCTTCTGCGGGCAAACTAGAGACTTGTGGCCCAGCTGACCACACTTGAAACAGGTAATGTCTCCCTGGCTGCCTTTCCCAGGACCTGCACTCGGCACTGGAAAAGTTGATCTAGTAAAGCTACCCTGAGACTGCTAAGGGTTAAAACCTTTCTGTCTCCTGCCATCACTCTGGCCATCCTGACTCCTCTTAGAGCCTTTCTGCTCCTCCTCCTCCTGCATCATAATCTCCATATGGGTTGCAGCATCAACCAGACGCCCATAGTCTCGTATCATCGTTCTGCCAACTCTCAACTTGAGGCCACTCCTCAACTTCTTCTCAAACTCAATACAACGGCATTCCTCAGACGCCACCAACTCAAGTGCAAACCTGGATAAGCTAGTAAATACGGCCTCAAACTCGGCCACTGAAGAACTCAACTGCTTAAGCTGGCAGAACTGGTCTCTCAGCTTTTCCCTGACAGCTGGAGATAAGAACTTTTCCTGGAAAACATTTACAAAAGCCTCCCACGTACCTCCTATACAGCCCTTCGTGAACTTCCACCACTGACCCGCATCCCCCTTTAGCTGGAAAGATGCCAAGGTCACTTTCAACACCCCGTCTTCGATGCCAAGCATCTCAAACGTCTTCGTTGTCTGTTCGAGCCATTCATTTGCCTTAAGTGGCTCTTTAGGATCACCCACAAATTCGTCCGGGTTAGACCGGAAGAACTCCCTCTTCAAGAAAGAAGGCCCTGCATCAGCAACATGAACCTGGGCTTGATTCTTAGCTCTCAGAATGCCCACGGATTCCCTGAATGCCCCCGCTATCTCTCGGGCCAAGGTACCCATAGCCTGCTGACCTACTGGCTCGGCTACATTGGCTTGACCAACTCCCTCCTGCTGCTCCGGAATCTCATCCAGTATAGGCATCTCCTGCCTACCACGCCTACCACGTCCTCGTCCTGACATCCTAATAAAGGTAACAAAGACGTTAGCACTCTAATAAATGTGCCAAAACTATAACACTCGTGTCCTAATGCAGTGGACAACAATAATTCATTCTACGTAAGCACATAATCACATAAGCACCTACGAATTTCATTCCTAGATAATGACAGTCCCGAGGCGTTCCTAGAGTTCCGGTTGGAAGCAGCATTGATCAAGTGCCTTTCTAACAAGACTACAAGAAACTCAAGGATCCAATCAACATCCCAGAAACTACATTCCATACTCACATAGTCACATAAACATGTTATCATATAAGCATATAACAGTACATCTAAGTCTCTATCAAGCGAGATGAACCCATTGTGATACTAATCACTTCCCACGTACTCAAAGTATTCAAACCCGGTACGCTCTGATACCAAGTTGTAACGCCCTCAAAATAAACCCACAATATACTCAATATTAACATGCATTGATATAAGAAAACAAAACATTATTCCACTCATCAAAGTATTCTTATTGAAAGACATCACATGTAACATCAAAAGTAAATGCCCTACGGGCTTACAGCTTTCCAAGCCAACACTTAGATACAAAAAGTGAGTATTAACTCAACTACAAATTAAGCCCTTGGCTTGAGTTTACATGTAAAATCAAATAACAACTAACTAAAACAAGTCTTCAAATCCAAATCCTTCCAAGCTAAGTCCTTGGAGGTAGCATATCACCTGGACCTGAAAATGATGTTCCCGTATAGGGTGAGCCACAGTCCAGCAGAAATATACTAAACCAAATATAAGAATTGACTAAAGCAATAGCATTCGATAGATGGTTAACACTTATAAATCCATTATATCACTATACAGTTTCATGACAATAATGTCCATGACATGTTTCACTTTACGTTGTTATACAACTTTCAAATTAAACAGACATGGCTCAGAACCTGGCCAGACTATAAAAAGTGACTACATCTCACAACATTACTTCCAATTTCAATTATTCAAATGAGACTAAGGCTCATACTGAAGCACTTCCATAAATCAATAAGTACACATATTTGCTGTACTAGTGGAGTCCATCCCCTTTCTCCTCCTAAACAGGTTTGAGAGTCCATCCCCTATCTTCCCTCAAACCATGGAGTACATCCCCTATCTCCTCCCAAACAATATTAAATCAATACACGTATTTGCTGTATTAATTCAACTGTCATATTCAATGACTCATTCAAAGTGATTGGTTGCGAATATGTAGGATGATTACAGCAGAGACACGTACCAAACCCGTGATCCGATTGTCCCTAACACTGAAATTCTGCAACCCAATTAGCCCTGAAAGTTCAGGTAAAGGACCCGAAAAGGAATTGGAATGTAACCACACTTGGTTCAATTGGGTCATGTTCTGTATTACCCCAATTGAGCCATTGAGCTTAGAACTAATACCATGTTGCCCATTCAACCACAGAGACTGAATCGACGAACCCGAAAAGCTTCCCAGCAATCTTCCTCTTCACAATATGTTCTCTTCGCTAAAATTGTTGGTCACAGTCTTCAAAACTTGAATGGAGATTACCATATTTCTGGCTTCAATAACACGAATATCACTAGGTCCACGACTGTCATGACTGTATGTTTCACCCGTTGTCCCACCAGTCAAACCCAAATCAGCAATGGTAATCTTAACATCATCATGGTCTGAACCTGAATGATGAGGACGAACCACCATGGCATTTGGACTCTGCACCCTCAATGGAGTGACTGCATTTGTGTTGTGTTCAATTTTGAAATTACTCAGCATGCAGGAGACAATACAGCGCTATCAGAGGCATACAAAAGATGTTCAAACTGACAACTCATTAGTGGAAGAAAACATGCAGGTTATACCCCCCTCTCTCTCTCTCTCTCTCTCTCTGATCATACTAACTTCCTCTTCACAATTGTCAAAATTTTAGATAATTAACTGGAATAATTTTATTTATTTATTCATCTATTTTTACTTCATGTAACTTCAGTACTTATATTAAGACACATATATATAGCTTAATTTTGTCGCTCCATATTCATCAAATCACATGGCAGATGTCATTCTATTAAGGCATTTTTGCTGCCTTCCCTGGGGAAACCTGATTTTATGTTGGAAAAAATAATCGACAATCTTCTAAAAGTTTTATGGTACATTTAGATGTTAGTAAAAGCATGAAAGTAGTTAATAAAATTGCATACGAATATGAAAAGTTCTTTTAAGAGTGTGATTCTGAAATATATATCTAGAATGTCATATGAAGCAAGAGTTATTCTGATTTCTCAAAGGAGCTCTGCTCGGTTTCTATAGCCATATATCTCCATAGATTCTTATGTGCACTAACCTTTTTTTTATGTTACGCTTCCACTATCCAACAATTTGTTTTGTACCTAACAAATGTTTTCATGTTGTGTTTGTTCGTTTGTTCTTTCCTCCCTTTGGTAGAGCATTATTAATGAAGCAACTCTCTCTCTCTCCTTTTTGTCCATCCTCTTGTGGGAACCAATTAATCTTCTTTTTTTCTTTTTATCGGAAGATGAAACCTTATGTTAACTATTAAAACCTTAATAACTAAATTTTCTGGCAATTATTGATCCGGACTGGCAGCATTTGAAGCATGAGGCAGCAGACATGGCAAAGCAGATAGAACTTCTTGAAGTTGCAAAAAGGTTGGATGGAAGGCCTAGCTAGTTCGAATTTGTTTGGCACACTAAACATATGAACTTTTTTTTATTTATTTATTTTTAATTTGAAGCATTTATAAACTCTGAAATTGGAAAATTTGTATTAGGAAACTCTTGGGAGAGGATCTGGGGTCATGCACCATGGAAGAACTGCAGCAAATTGAACAACAGTTGGAGCGGAGTGTAAGCAGAGTCCGGGCTAAAAAGGTTGTTATTATTATGTAGTACAAAATGTAATTATTTCCTAAAATTTTGTAATTACTTGGAAGTCTAATTTCTTTGATTATTGTCTGTGCTTCAGATGGAGGCTTTCATGGAACAGATTGATCAACTTAAGGAAAAGGTAAACTATTAAAATTTGTGATATTAGGTTGAGTGTAGCACGTTTTTCCACTAAAGTCATTTTTTACAACTGCTTCAAAATTTTGAAATACCACCTTTGTATGAGCTGATTATGTGTCCGATGACATTTCTAGTCGGATATGCACCCAACAAATATGCATAAATAGTCAAGTTACTAAATTCCATAAGACTTCCATTTTATGGATAACATGCTCTATATTAGTTTGTAAATAACATTTACCCTAAAAATATAAAATAATTATTTAAAAATTTGACTTTAGATTGTAAATACCATTTTACTTAAATTATCTCACTAATTGCTGATGGTGTATGTCTTTTGGCTTCAATTTAATTTAGGAGAAAGTCCTAACAGCTGAAAATGCAAAGCTCTGTGAGAAGGTGATTCTCTCTTTCCCCCTTTTTGGGCTTTATTTCTATTGTTACCTTTATTATTATTTTTTAAAATATTTCTTGAGGTTTTTTTTTTTTAATGCTAAATATGATCTTTATTATTTTGTGATTACCCAAATTTTGATTGTTTGTTGTTTGTACTTTACATGCAACGCGATGTTATTTAATTATACGATATGTTTATTTTTATATCGTAATATATCTTCTAGGATTATTATGTGAATTGGTTTGCTTTATAATTTGGGGTTTTACTATATTCCAAGGTTGTGATCATATGGTATGGCAAAACCACTAACACATTTTTTAGAGTCGCATTTAAATATAAGAAATTTTTTTTTGAACTAAGTGAAAACACTCTCTCTGTTGCAAGGATCGGTGACATGGACTACAGAGGGGGGTGGACACCGGTGACACGGAAGAGAAGACCAAGAGTCCAACAGATCCACTACAGGGGTGCAGGATTCATCACGGTTTTTGTGGATAATCTGCCGGATTCTATGGTGCCACGAAGTCTATTCAATCTGTTTAGTAACTATGGTGTGGTAAAAGACGTATTCATCCCAAATAAGAGGAGGAAAGCTACTGGTTCAAGATTTGGTTTCGTCCGGTATGACTGTACCACAGCAGCAAGGGTAGCAGTCCAGAAAGCGGATGGAATATGGTGTGATGATAAGAGTCTGAAAGTGAGATTGGCAGAGTATGGAAGCGATGCTCAGTATCCGAAGAAGGCAGAGGTTAGAAAAGGGAAGAGCGCGTACAGGCGGAGCAGTGGATGCACGGTAAAGCAATAGCAGGGTCCCATGGTCAAAGATCTTACGCTGAGGTAGTACAAGGTACACGTAAGGAGAATACTGTGATAACCATAGATGTACAGGAAGTTGGAAATGGATGGCTGTATGAAAGTTTAGTTATTACGCTCAAATCCTTCTTCTCTTTTAAGGCTTTCAAAGACGAATGTAGCACCAGAGGCCTGAAGGAGGTTTGTATAAAGGATGTTGGTGGTCGTTTAGCTCTTTTATCTTTCAAGTCAGTGGCACATATGAAGAATTGGAAGGGTAGATTAGAGGAGTGGATATATGAGTGGTGTGACTCTATGGACGAATGGGAGAAGGGTAAAACCTTTCAACAAGAAAGGTGTGTTTGGCTGGTTTGTCAAGGCATTCCTCTTAATCTCTGGAATGTTGGCACCTTCAAGGCGGTGGGTAACATCTGGGGAGAAGTCGTTCAACTAGATGAAGCCACGAGTTCTTTGGAGTCATTAGCGAGCGGCAAAGTGAGGATCATAACTCGTAGGAGTGAGTTCATTAATCAAGTGATCATGCTAAATTGCAACGGGCAGCAACACCCAGTAAGAGTGATTGAAGAGTCATTTTTTCCGAATAGTCTAAGATCGGGGGAATGCAGGTATCAGCCTCCTGGGGGTTTACCTTCCAGTTCCGGCAGTCAGAGTGCCATGAATTCCGGTGATAAAGAGGATAGGGTGAAGGTAGGCATGGAAGGTGGTAGTAGGTCTGATGAGGCAGCTCCTAATGAGGTGGTAAGTATAGTGCATGACACAGTTGAGGGGACTGCGCACTGTATGGAAGAAAGGGATAGGAGGGTGTTTCGACCCAGGATAGGGGTGTCAGGAGCTGGCATGGAAAATTCAGAAAAAGGGGACGGAAGTCATGATGATGCTCTGAAGTGTGTAGGCGAAGTTTCAAAAGAGGTGATAGGGCAGCCTCAATTTCTAGTCGGAAGCAATCACACGGATGGGTTTTTGATGAGCATTAGTGGGCCTGAAATTATAAGGCCCAATTTTAATTTGGAAGTAGTGATTCCCAGAGCCCATGTCGAAGCTGGCCTTGCTAGGCCAGTTGGGCTTTCTATATCTAATTTGAGCGACTGTGTGGCAAGCTCACAGCTCCTCGCCGAGAGAGCCCAAGTTTGCAAGCAGAAGGGTGAGGGCAGGGCAGATCAGGCTAGGGGGGAATTTGCTTCTATCTGCAAAGGAAAAGTTGCAGTAAGGAAGAGTAGTACAGCCAAAAAGGGTGTTTTGGCTATCCAGCAGGGCAGAATTCTACCTCAAAGCTTTAGCAGGGGGGCCATTTTCAGAGCTACAGCTGCTGCAAATTCCAGCTCTCACTCGGCTTTACATGAATCAGGCAGGAAGAAGGGCTATCTGATGAAGGAGGCCGAAGCAACAATACAACTTGGGAAGACGTTAGGCATTGATTTCGGTGGTAAGGAGGATATCGTGGCAAAACAGATTGTTCAGTTGGAAACTCGAGATTTGGAGAGGATTTCAGAAGGGGCTCGGGCAGATGAGGTCTGAACACCCAGCGTAGGAGTATAGGTGCTCTGAAGTCTGTCTTATGAAGATACTGTCATGGAATGTGCGTGGTCTATGTAGGCCAGAGAAAAGGAGTAAAGTTAGAAACATTTTAAAAGGAAGAGGGGTGGATGTGGTATTATTTCAAGAAACCAAGAGAAGTAAAATGGAGGAAAAGTTCATCAAGTCTGTTTGGCCTTTCGATAAAATGGAGTATATGGAAGCAGATGCCGATGGTAGGGCCGGAGGGTTACTATGCATCTGGCACCCTGACAGATTCAAGGTTGTTGATTGTTGTGGCTCCAGAAATTTCATCATTTTATCAGGTATTTGTGGTCAGTCCTTTGAATGCACGGTGGTGAATATCTATGCTCCCAATGATGTGGGTAAAAGAAGTCAATTGTGGGAATCTCTAAAGAGTCTGAAAATCTCCTACCCGACTCCCTGGTGTTTGGGTGGGGATTTTAATGAGATTAGATTCCTCAGCGAAAGGAAGGGATGCTCCAGAAGGGAAAGAGGAATGAAATGATTTTAATAAGTTGATTGATCAGTTGAACTTGTTGACTTGCCCATGAAGGGTAGAAGATTCAGTGGTGTATCATGCCTCTTGACGGGGAAAGATGGAGTCGGATAGCATAGGTTCCTCTTGGAGGGTAGATGGCTTGAGCAGTTTTCCTTCAAGCAAGTGGGGACTGCCAAGAACGGTTTCTGACCACTGTCCCAGTTCATGATAAAGGAGGATGAAAGGAATTGGGGCACAAAACCTTTCAATTTATTATGCTTGGCTACTCCATCCTGACTTTCAATATCAGCCAGTGGAAGAGCTCTTGGGAGGCCAAGTACATCAGGGCTGGGCGGGGTTTAGATTGTTGAGGAGCTTGCCTCTCCTCAAAGCCAGTCTTAGAAGATGAAATGTTGAGGTGTTTGGCCATGTGGAAACAGATCTTAAGAAAGCGGAAGAGGATTTACAACGCTTTGGATTTGGGTGGCTGAATGAAAGAGCATTGTCGAACAGAAGCAAATTCGGAGGAGAGTAGTCCAGGGGGCTAGTTTGGGAATCTGCATAGAAGGAAGGAGAGTTTGTGGCATCAAAATCTAGAATGCTGTGGGCTAAGTGTGGGGACAAGAATACTAGGTTTCCAACTTGATGGCTAGCTCAAGGCAAAGAAGAAACCTTCTGAATTCAGTTGTGGTTGATCGGGAGGTTAGAGTGGTGAGGACCTAACGCTCAAAGAGGCTAAGCTGTTCATAGCTCATTTTTTGGAAATTATTCTCTGAGTCGTGGAGTTCATAGGCCTAAGCTTCTTGGCCCTTTTGCATCTATCGTCTTCATTGCAATTGGGCAGTAGAAGTTTTTAGATGCAGGTTTTTTTCGGAAACAGGAAATTTGGGCTGCAGTTAAAGATATGTGATGGTAATAAGGCCCGGGCCCAGATGGCTTTTAGTTTGACACTGTTTCCAGAATGCTGGAACATAATGAAGGGTGAGTTCTTCAATTTATGGACGAGCTTTCATCTAATGGAAGATTGTCTCAGGTCTTAATAGCTCCTTTATCACCCTCAATTTCCCACAAACGAGGTAGTGATCCCTAGTGAGTTAAGGTGATTGTCAGGGACCCATTAGTCTCGTTCATTAACGCGTTTAACAAACTCACTCATCAATAGTGCATATTCATAAAGGTTGAAAAGAGTGTTGCAGGAAATTATATAGTGAAGTTCAAAAACGCTTTTTTTGGGTGGCAAGATCTATTCTTTGATGGTGTTCTGATTCGCTGAACGAAGTAGTACATTGGTGGAAAGCTGTAAAACATGAGAGGCATCATTCTAAAGCTAGATTTCGAAAAAGGCATATGAATTCTGTAATTGGGAGTTTCTGCTATCTATGATGAGGGAATTTCGGCTTTGGGGAGAAATTGGTTGGGACTGGATGCAAATCATGCCTCTCATCATCTAGAGTATTCCGTCCTAGTTAATGGATCTCCAACCACAAGAATTTGCTCCTCAGAGAGGGCTCCGGCACTGGGGGGGGAGATCCACTATCCCTCTTTTGTTTAACATTAGTAGCCTGAAGGTTTGACATTTTGATTGAAAGAGCAAAGGAGTTGGGGTTGGTTTAAAGCGAGCTTCTGTGGGGCCTTTCTGAAGGTGAAATTTTCTCATCTTGCAATTTGCGGATGATACAATAATATTTCTGTGAGGTCGGCCAGGGTGAATGGTGCACATTAAAGAGAATTTTTGCGCTACCTTTGAGGGCTTTCCGGCTTTAAAAGATTTAATTTCAGAACAAAAAGCTTGTTGTGTGGGCGTGGGTCTACTCAGAAGGTGAGGTTAACCAGTTTACCTCCATCTTCAATTGCCGTAGTCAAAAGCTCCCTTTTAGTTATTTGGGTCTACCTTTAGGAGCCAACCCCAGTAGAAAAAGTACATGGCAACCTGTGATAGAGAAGGTGAAAAAGAAGCTAGCTAATTGGAAGAGGAAAGTTCTGTCTTACGCTGGTCGTTTAACTTTGATTAGGTCAGTCCTCTCTTGTATGCCCATTTATTTTCTATCAATTTTCAAAATCCCTGTGGGAGTAGCTAAACAGATTGAGAAGATTCAGGCAGCATTCTTATGGGGCAAATCAGAATTTAAGAGGAAAGTCCACTTGGTGAAATGGGCGGATTTAACAGTGGATAAGTCACAAGGGGGTCTGGGGCTTAGAAATCTAAGAGAAGTCAATGACTGCCTCCTGTTAAAATGGTGGTGGAGGTTTGGTGTGGAGGACAAAGCTATTTGGAAACAAGTAGTGAGGTGCAAATATGGAATGGGTGCTGGTGGCTGGGTACCTTCCATTCCAGAGTCTTGTTCAGTGTCAAGAATCTGGTCTGATGTTGTTCATCTTGGGGCATCTAGTCCTGAACTGATGGAGCACTATCTATCTAATTTCAAAATTCTTGTAGGAAACGGGCTAAGACTTCTTTTTTGGGAGGATAAGTGGTTAACTA